TGTTCAACATGAGCTAGTAAAATTTTTCCCCAAAACCACGTCCTCCTCCACATCCCTTTTAGGATGCTTGAAATTATGGTTACTTACAGCTGATTATTCAAAATATTGGGAAAGGAATAAAAGAAAGCCACAGCAGTGTCCAAGTGTATATATGTAACCAATGGAGGTTACTAATAAAGTCCTGTATCTCACTGGTAAAATAGGGACTACACAAAACGCAGGAAAAATGGAGAGGAAAGTACACTGTTTCAATTCAACAGCCACATACCCAGGCCATCCTTACTTTAGATGATGCTACACAGACGCAACTGCTCAAGCAGCAGAGGCAGAAATTGCTTTAAAAGATGGCATGCTGTGTGATCACGCCCTCAAAGCTACTACTTGCCAGAAGAAACTTATCAGTTGTATGGGAAGTGTCAGAAGCTGTATTATAACGTAAATCCCAAACTAAATTGAAGCCTCGATTTAGAATAGTTGGTTAAACACTCAAGGAAAAACACAAAATAGTTTTTAAAAGAAAAAAGTCATAGAGGAATTTCATTGAGCATTTCAAAATGAGTCATTGTCTTTTGACCAGTTTACTTTGTGCTCTCTAAAATGAGGATGTTACTTGCACATTTTTTTCACTCATTCCTTCTACTCAAGATGTGACTTCTTGTAGAATGACCTGGGTTTACTTCTATTTCTTCAAAGTTGACCTTTAAGTGAAAGTGTGTTAAATGCATATAGCTACAAACCAAAAGTACCAAAGGTGAAAAAACGCCTAAGCTAGGCACCAAAATGCCTTCAAAATAACAGCGGGATAACTTTGTAATGGCACATTCAGTTTGGGTAGGAACGTACACACACTGTATTTGCTACAAGTAAACCTATCCTGTACTGGGAAAAATACTTCCTATAAGAATGGTGGCAGTACTCAGAAGTTAAGTATTTTGAAACAAAAGCATTTAAATACAAGGTGTCTTATTACAAAGTAATCACTAGCATTGTTTTGGGTTAAGGTTTCTTTTAATAATGTACCTGCTATGCAGTTAATGTAAACATCACCAATCCCATAGTCATTGAGCACATGATTTTAATGTGATCCATTAAGGTGGTCTCTTTTAAACTAACGCTATTCAGGTATTAAGCCATTTCATTGAGTAAATTACTGAAATTCAGGTGATTCGGAATAACTATTATAAGCCTTCAAGAGGCACAAATTGGATACAAGAGTACCCAATGGATATAGTTATTCAAGGTTGTGAAAGAGGAGACTTTCTTCTCATCAAGAGTCTAGAAGAGGTATAGCCTTGAATGACTGACAGCATTGTAATTGAGAGTAGCAAGAAAATTAATAGGAGATGTTCCAGTGGGTAGCAAAAAAGTGGTTCTATCATCTTACTTAAACCAACCACAGTGAAAACAAAACAACAACAAAAAACCAGGGGACCATAATGAAAAAAAAAAACCAAAAAAGCAGCTAGAAATGAACAGACTACAAAGCACAAAGGTGCTGAAAGTTTAGAGCCCAATTACTAAGAACGAAAGTAAACTCAGCGATGCTAATGGTAAAAAAGATCTCCAAACACAATATGACTGTCCCAATAAATTTGATGAGAGCAAGTTAGGGAATAATCCAATTAGTGAATTCAGTGCAGAAAGCTCAGAACTTCATCTTGCGCAAAGCAACTGAAACAGTCTTGAAAAGGTAAATTTAAAAAGCACCCAATACATTGAGAAAGTTGCCAATAGAAAGCTCTTCTGGAAACTATGCAAAAGCAAAGCTTGCTATTATTTGGATATAATAGCATCAAAGGAAAATGTAGAAACTCAAAAGAAAGAAAAAAATTACAGGCCTACTTATTTGGATTTGAAGATCAGCACGAAGCAGGACAAAAAAATCATGCTTCTCTGAACAGTAAATGGGCTGCTACTAAACATACATATAAGGAGAGAAAACAGGACTCATAACCTCAGCTAACCAAGTTTAGGACGATGGCAAATACAGTTAAGTGGAAGTCTGGAAAGGTTCATGTAACTAGGTCAGCTGGCTGAAGAACAATCCTTCAACCTTTATGAGTTTTCCGAGAGCAGAGCGTTTTCTGCTTCATTCTTGCTCAAATATTTCTTTGGTAGTGGTTTGAGCTTAGAGACACTTCTGACAGCATGTTTGGAGAACAGTCCCAGCTGAACAGGAAAAGGTGACTTACTGGTTGTTTCCCTTTGCCTCACTAGGCAAATAACTTGAATCAGGAGAAAGAAAGAAAAGCAAGCTATACATGGTTCAAAGGAACCAGTTGCTGTGCAAGCTTTCTTTTCTGATATGGACTAACAATTCATATCAGTTCTCCTTCATTATCTAGCTTCTCACATCTATTAAATTACATTTCATTGATCTAACTGCATTACCCAGAAAAAAAAAAAATCCAAATTAAGCACAAACATGTATCTCCAGTTTCTTCCAAAGTAATTTCAACTTTAGCACAAATTCAACAGTGGTATCAGTCTGTTTCTTTGAAACTATGTAGCTGCTTCCGTAATCTACCAAAAATTGTAGAAGTGGTATCCAGTGCTGAAAAGTAAGTACTTTCAGTGCCATTTTAAGTGCTAGTTTGGGGGCCATGCTGAGAAAAAAACAGCCTCACTCTTAATGTCTTTATAAATTAACAGAGCTTGGCTTCCTTTTTAGGCAAGTGTTTTTTAGATTGTAATCAATTAACCTAAGCGCAAGGAAAAACTTTGTAAAAATAAAAACTGAATGCTCTACGAGGAAATGGCTTGAACAGATTTTTAGACAATGGTAGCAATTTCCACCTATAAACTGTTCTAAGGGTGTATACGGGTAGTTCTAAATACTCTAGCTCACCATTTTAAATTCATCTTGTGCTGGACGAGGGGAGTATCAAACATTTGAGCTAAGGCTTACCCAAGACCTGCCCACACATTATGCGACAGCAACAAGTTAGGAAAAAGGAATTTAAAAAATACATGTGAAACAGAATGGCAAATACAGAAAATATGCCATTATTTAAATGATTCAAATTATATTGGCAACCACATCAAGACTAATGGTTTCAAAAGTGTAAATACTCTTATGGAAAACTGCACAGGGTTAAAAGGTTTATCTTGAAAAAAAATAAATAAGCACATAAGGGATTTCTGTTCTCTGACTTGGTAATATTTTCTTAATACACTGAATGACAGATTTAAACACTTTGTGTTGTTGGAAACTAGATAGATCAAAGTAGTATTGGAGAGTTATGTGTACAATAAAAATATTTGGAGTCAGTTTGTGCCAGCAAATCTTAGAAGGAAATAAAAGTTTGATAGAATAATAATATAGTTTGATAGCACAAATCAGTCTTTGTCTAAATCAGGTATAAAAGGAGACTCTGCCAAAGACTACACAGGGGAAACCCAGAAAATGCGTTCAGATATTACACTGCTGAGGGATAAAGAAAGAGGAAATTTCAAAAATTCCAAAACTGTGACTACCTGAAGGAAATCTTCTGATGTAACCCACACTTTAATGACTGCCTTGATGAAAATCTGACCATAGAATCCAAACAAAGAATGACAAAAGACATAACAGTTTGTGAACAAAATTCAGTCATTCCCTTTAAAGGACCAGACTAAGAACTATGGACTAGCTTCATTCATATAGGCCTGAGGTGAAGAATTACGGAAGAGGCCACTTGAAACAGCAGTTAAACACTTCAGACATCTCCCAGACTGCCCAAACAAAATGCCTGAGGATATTGTTGATAGGTTTGTTTCTTCTCCATTCAAAGCTATTCACCACAATGACCTCCAGTAAGGCAACTAGTCAATTAGATATGAGTATGCCTAGCAGAAGTATCCTTGATTTCTCTTGATCTGCGATACTGACAAGCCACACTGTAGAAGGGTATCTGAGTGGTATAGCCTACTCATGCTCTTCAGTCCCAAAGCCATCACCTGGTGTAGGGCATCATCATGAGTGCTCTAGTATTTGAACACTAGTCTCATTACGTAATGTTCACAGGCAGTACAACTTCCTTTCGTATGAAGTCTCCTTGCACTCCTTCAAACTTTCACGTGTGGCTGAGAACACGTGAAGCCCAAACTACTCTCTCGATACCTGTAGCTTGCTAAAAACAAAGTTTCTAGCTCAGAGTGGAAAGGCTACAAGTAGTTATTCATGTAACACTCAGTGAAAATAAAGCACACAAGCTATGAAAAACAGAGTCCAGGTGCACTCTGGTAAATACTTTGATAGGTCACAGAGAATTAATGAAAAACTCAACATGTGTAATTTATGGGACTTTATATGCCCTTCTGTAGAAATACATCAACTCATCACCAACTTTCCCCATGATAAACACAAACTTTGCTTCAACTACTTGGCTGAATAAAGTGCTCAGCTTTTCAGGTAGGTTTTTACAGAATAATTCTAAGGTATTCCACTATAATACAGTATCCAGAAGTAGTTAATTTACAGACAGCTTACATGTCTGCATACTTTTCAAATATAGGCAGACATTTGACTGCAGGTACAGGCATGTGCGCGAGAGACTTTCCTCACTATTTACAACAGCTCCAGTCTCCAAGATGTTTGGTGGTTACTCTAACTGGATCTACAACAAGATTCAAAAAAGTGTACTTAAATAAACTATTTAGATAGACATGTTATTTTATAGAATTATAGAATTATATCAAAATGATCACAAATCTTGGTCAAGTTTAGCTTAATCAAGTCAGAGTCCTGTTATGCAGAGGGTATTTTTCCAAAACCCAATTTTGGCTGGTAATACACATCTGAGAGTAAAAGCTTCCACGTGAACAGGTTCATGCCCTTCACTGTCAAGCAGGGGAAAAAAAATAATCAATTTAAGAATTAAAGCATGACAAAAAGCAGATGCTTTTTTTCAACAAACATCACATGATTTTCCTACATCAGAAAGGCAGGGAAATATCTAAAAATGACTGATCACCTACTTCAAAAGGCAGTAAAATTGCTGAGTTGCAGAAGCAGACCTTGTAATCTGGACAGATGAAGAAATTCTGCTATTTATTCTACTGTAATCTAACACAATAAATTGAACAATGTAAAGGGACTCATGGCAAAGAGTTTGGGGTTTTTTTGTAGCTAAGAGAGTTAAGAAACACAGAAATGGGAAGTTATAATCTCATGACTACTACTGCTAAAAACCTGTCTTTTTTTTTTTATTAAAGAGGGGGGGTGTGTCAGGGGAAGCGTTCAATTACCTGAAAGTCATCATAAGGGAATAGTAGCATCTCACGTAAACCATCATTCAAAATCTGTGTTTTCCTCTGAACGATGACATTTTCGTAGTCTATTGGTTCTATGAGCTTTGGTTTTGCCTAGGAAAAAAAAAAAAAAGAGGAAAATAAATTCAGGCATATTGAGGAAAAATTATAATTGTTGACTCATTTAAGAAGATACTCTAAAAAAAAAAAATCGGCAAAATGAGATTTCGTCTACTTCGAAAACTTACAGTACTCAAAATGCAGAATTTATGTCACACTATACCACATGGATAAGTGCAACTGATAATCACAGAGACAAGCATGCTATCTGCCTCAGAAGGAAGAAACACAAGTATTTCACAAAACACACTAAGTCAGAACTTATCAGAATAACCATGTATGCATTCTCACTGCAGAAAAATTATAAAGAAATTATTAGTCTCTTATGTTGGTGGTTACCTTTGCTTGACGCTGCCCAGAAAGCTCTGATCTGGGTTTTAGAAGGATTAAAACAATTTGAGCTCTAAAGGTTAAGACTGAGCTTTTTTTTAATTCAGTAATCACCTGCAGTAGGGGTAGGGTAATTGACATTCATAGTTTTTTCAAAATTCCCATAGGCCATCTGCTTCCTCCTAATTGCACGCGTAGCTTTCTTCAGTTGCTGTGCATTGATTCAACATTTAAACCCTATACTGCTGTTAGGGCATTACAGCTGGCTGTGCACAGACCAACAAAAACCTTCACCCTGCCAAGCATTCTGCTGAGTGGTCAGATGGCAAAGCAGGTTTAGAGAGAGCTCTCAATGAGGCAGCACTGCATCGGAGCATGCAAACTAATGCAAAGCTGGCGTTATAATCAAGCTTGCACTTTCTGCAACTAAAATTGTGCATCACAGTATCAGACATCAAATTACATTTTTGTTCATGCACCAGTGTCCATCGGAAAAGGCTTAAGTTTATGTTCACACACCCATCTTTCTTAAGATCAGTGGTACTAATTTCAAAGTAAGGTACATAAAACAAGAATAGCAGCAAGGCCAGCTTATCCCATCATAGTCAGTCAGAGAAGATGAGATTTATATATATCTTCATATACATGCACCAGTGTCCATCGGAAAAGGCTTAAGTTTATGTTCACACACCCATCTGCAGCTGAAGTAGTTGGACCATTTAGCTCAGAAAAGCATAAGAGAACCACGTAAGCACAACATAAGAAAAGGTTACATTTAATGTACTAACTATACAAAATATTTTGGCTGCAAGAAAACTTTCTGTTAAGTTTGCCTTTGAGTATTCAGACTGCTGCAATGAACCTGAAACTACTGAAATGTGTGCTCCAAGCTTCCTTAGTACGCAGAAGGCCAGATGCACCTTCTTCACCCAACTACCTGATTTCAAAGGAATTCCAGTAACTTCACCTACCCTCTCCAACTCTTCACCTACCCTGCCCAACTCTTCACCAAGGCAGCAACTGTTCAGTACAAATTCTCTTCCTTAAGCACATGAGACAGGGGTAACACAGTCTGAAGAGCCCTCCAAACTTAACCATTCTGTAAATTAAGTACATGACAACACCATTCAGAAAGCAAAACACCCTTTGCTCACCTTTCTTCCACTTTCGATGTAACAGGTCTCTCTCTACCTATCCAAGCAAGCAAGATGCTCACCTGTCAATCACTGTGCAGTATACTCTCATGCTAGAACAAGCTTTAGAAACTACTACAGTATTCTGTCCAAGTCGCTCCATTTGGTCAAGTTGGCCTTTACCACGTGACCATTCCTTCTGAAGAGTTTGTCATAAGCAATGATATGCAATGTGCTGCAGTGACAGGTTGATTTGAGCGTGGTGCAGGATGACTGACCTTTAGGAGAAACAAAACTAAATACGCCAAATTAAATTGGGTCTAAGAAATGAGCGTGGGAGCAAGACCATTTGAGTTGTGTACACAATCAGTCTCTCCTGTTAGCTAAAGAGTTGGCTTCACAACTGGCTTAAATTAATTGAAAGGAGGGCTGACACTAGAAGGACCGCCTCTCTCTCATGGCATGTTCCTGAGCCTTCTCACACTAGTACCAGCAGCTGAGCCAGAGCTTTTGAGCCAGATTAAGAGGTGATCTGGCTTTAGAGGATTCCTCCCAACCAGCAGGCTTTCAGCCAGATTGTCTCTCTGAATTGCTGATCAGATGGCTGCATGGCCACTTGTGCCAACAGATGAGAGCTGATGGGATCTTTTCAGAAGCAGGAGAGAGAGATTACTAAACAGAAGATAAAACTCTGTCCTTAACTAAAAGCTGTTGCACAAGCATTTTTGAATTCTGCTACTCAGCTGCAGTGTAGCTCACAATTTCTAAAATGTCCTGAAAAAAAAAAAATTCAGGCCACATATATTAATGTACTTAAAATGCAATTTGGGAAGATTTTACAAGGAAAAACATATACACGCTCATTATAGTCAGAAAGTTCACACATCAGGTCATCTACTATCTGACTAGGAAGCAGATACATCACAGCACTAATTCCATGAACTGGTAGCAAGGGAAAGCTGTCACCTCAAATGGGCAATGGATTTTTACATAGTACTGCACATGATCAGCATTTTCATTCATTTCTCCCTAGTTCTGAAGAGCTACATGCATCCTCCTGTTCTCTTGGGAAGGTGATAAGTGAAGACTGGAAGAAAACAAGCTCTGGCTCCTCTCATTTTACCAGCAAAAACAAACAGAGGCAAATTATTACTTTTAAAACCAATATAACTAAAACTATTTCATGGGCGTGCACACTCACATTCAAAAAACACACTTGTCTAGCACAGTTCATTAAAAAAAGAAAGACAAAGATGCATATATTGCAGCTTCAAAAAGGATCAGATTCATTGCAAATGCATGTCTCCATCCTATAGTCACAAAACAGGTCCACTATAACCACAAAATCGATTTTAAAAAAAAAATCTTAAAAGAAAATGAGCCTTGCTCACATTCTGCTTACTTGCTGCAAATACAAGATTGAAAAAGAACCCTCGCTCATGAGAAGCTTTTAAAGAATCCAAAGCTCTCTGGAGCTGAGATCCTGAATATACACCTCTCCTCTAAGTCAAAGGGACACAAAAAGTAGTTAGTGCTACCAAAAAACCACACCATCGTCCTATTTAACCAGTAAAGTACCTGATCTGCAGAAATAAAATTTCTGTAAAAATTCATGAAGCATTTGCTTCTTCAGGTGTCTCCAAATAGTTACTCATTTCTTTCTGAGTCATTTGTCAGATGCAAAAGGAAGAGGATGTTATATCGGTCTGAACCAGACATGAAAAAAGAAAACCATAAACAGTACGTGACATTGGCATTTACCCAACTCTACAACACCACAAGGAAGCAGATTCTCTCTCAAGCTCTTATTCAGAAAAAAAAAAAAAAAAAAAGATTTTCCGGTCTATTATTTCATGTAATATAAAAGAAAAGATGCTGGGTAGGTAGAGTATTGTTGAATATGATTTATGGACCAGCTGACATGGATAAAACTAAGCCCAGTCAAAACTGCAAAATCAAGTTTACAGGCACTAAAAGTCAGTCTTTCAAACAAGGCTTAACTTTTCTGATTAATATGCAATAAATATCATTTTTATTTCCATAATCTAAGAAAATGCTAAAAGCATAGGCCTTCATGGAGTCGAGCACTCGAGCTAGCCAATGCCCTATTTGTAGGAAGATAAAACTGCAAAGCACCTGCCATACGTCTTTGGTTCTTGCCAGTGTATTATAGGTATGGAAACTTAGCAGATGTAAGCAGCATTTCAAAACAGTAGTTGTGACACCCACAGGGTAACCATTTCAATCTCCCAGAATATGGTTTACATATTTGGACAAGCCGTGTCAAAAGCCATCAGAAAAAAGGAATTTTAAGTTAGGAGTTCAATGATTGCCTACATTATATATTACAGAAAAAAAAATAATACAGTACATTCTTTCTTGTATATTAAAATTGAGACAAATATCATCTTCATCTTGTCTTCTCACAAAAGAAAGGATGGTCACGTTAAGCACGCTCGGTATTGTTAGCCTCCTGCTACAAAATATCATCTACCCTATAAAAACACATTTAGCACATACACCTGCAAATTAACAAGTCCCCATAAAGAGTAGAATGGAGCTACAAGTACTGGCAGGCAACACAGCATACGAATTTATGAATATATGGTGTTACACATTTCTCAACACTGGTGTGAGGCAAGCCACTTTGGACAAATAATAAGACTATTTATTACTAAACATGGGTAACAGCTCCCCGTATCATGTCATCCCACAACCACACTAAACTCAAAATAAATGCCCAGGTTGGGTTAATTTTTAATCAACTTAAAAATCCATTTAAAAAAGTATATGTATCCTAAAGCTTATTCTTTAATATTACGTTATTCATTATCCCCTTTCTTAGGTATGGTTAACTTTGCGATGTAAAGTTTGCGGCAGTGGGGGGCAATAAGCTGCTATAGGTTTATGTAAAAAACTACCACTGTGCATATATTTAAGCAACAATATGCTTGCATTGACAAATTCAAAACTTACAAGTCTCTAGGACTTGAAAGAATGAAATGCATTAAGTGACCTGCTCTCACGCTTACATAAACAGACTAAAAGTGCCTACCAGGGATAAGACACAGAGTGAACCATACAAAGAGCAGTCATATAGGCTTTTATGCATAGTGCTTTTTTCAAAAAAATAAAATAATTAAATTCTCCTCCCCTGCCCCCCCCCACTGCTTTAACCTGAAAGCCTGAAAACTCTTGTTCTGCTGTTCCCCCAAGTCTTCAAGGGGCTGTAACAGAAGAGAGTGAGGGTTTCCAAAATACTCATTGAACACAGTCTAAATTGCAAAGCATTGTGCTTTTATTTATAAGAAGTATTTCGTTGATGGTCAAGGTCCATTTAAACACAAGAACACTTGTCAGAGCTCAAACATTTTGATAGGACCTTCTGCACTGCCAATATTTACATCGGGTTGTTGATACAGATGCAGTTCCAGTTGTTTAATTTCTAGCCTTCCCGGCTATTTGCTTTACCTTCAGACACAACGCAAGAATGACCTGTCCTGTGAAGTTCTCTTCTCAACACAGAAATTT